GCCGCGTAAGTCGCGAGTTGCGACATTCACTTTTTCTGAGTCGCAAGTCGCGACATCTCGCGAGTTGCGACATTCACTTTTTCCGAGTCGCAAGTCGCGACATCTCGCGAGTCGCGCGTCTTCACATATATTTAAAATCTGGGGAAAATCGCGATAGGTCTCGCGAGTCGCGACATTGACTCGCGAGTCGCGACTCTGGCTCGTGAAATCCATCTTTCAGTGTCTTCTGTCTCTGTCAAACTCGCGAGTTGCAAGCTTCTCGCGAGTCGCGACATGGTCGCGAGTCGCGACTCGACTCGCGAGTCGCGAAGAATGCTGGGCGCATTTTCGGTCCATTTTTCTGGTCCTTCCTTCAGCTTTCTGGGCTCGGCAACTGGTATTCTTGATATCACGGTCTCGGCTCCAACTGTCTCATCCTCGACCGGCACAACCTATCTCCTGAAAACACAAACACAGAAAAACACGAAGCAAAACATAGCGAAAAGACGCACAAAACTAAACTAAAGAGAAAAACACAAAAACACAGAATTGGACCAAATAAACCACGAAAATCCTATAAATGGGGAAAATAAAAGAAAAATAAACCCAAAATAAAGACACAAAAATGGGACAAACAGACTGCATTCCTTGACCTGTGAAATTGATGTCAAATATCTTATTAGACTTTAGTGCCACATGATTTGCCTCACCGAAAAATTGACAAACCACACGATCACCATTTTTTGAAATGTTGACCACGACCACAAGAACATCCTCTACACATGTTAGGAACACGGAAAGGGGAAAAACCACCACGAGATTGCACAAAATTTGGAGAAAGAACGGAATCAATTACATGCGATGAACAAATAACAGGAAAGGCCAAAGGTGCAGATGAGATTTGACTAAATAGATGCATCGGTTCACTACAACAGCCTCATAATCAGAACCTAAGCCACCAAGCACATAGCTAATTTATCATCGGCAGTGTGGTGTCCAACAGAATGTATGTACTCATCAAAAGAGATATCACATTTCTTCAGAGTTTGGAGCTAAAACTTAAGGTAAAGAACACATACCTTAGACTGAGTATGAAAGAGTTGCAATAGAACCGACCAAACCTCGGCAGAGGAAGAGCAGCGGGTCACATGCCCAAGCATGGATTCCATCATGGAAGCTAATATCCAATTGACGATGAATTGATCAGTGTGCATCCATCGTGCAAACTCTCGATAGATCGAGGTTTTAGTTTAACCATCGGCCTGAGGAAGAAGTCGATCCGGAAGAGATGGATTGAGAACAAAATCCTCAAGGCCATGCACATGGACTGTTGAGAGAATCTGTAGCTTCCAATAGGAGAAATTGGAACGATCTAATCGAAAAGAAAGTGGAGTGAGATGAGGAACAAACAATGCTGCTGACGATGAGAGCTCAGCCATAACGATTCACAGGAAAAGATAAAAAATTATTGGGTCGTGATACCATGTTAGATAAGCTAGAATATGGAGAATTAATTGCTCAAAGTAGTTGATTAATTGATCACAAGTTCAACACATATATACAAGTCAAAGGAAGCCTAGTTAGATCTTTAGCCGGTGGAAGTTATACATGATAACAATGTGCAACTAACTAATCTTTTCTAACTAATTACTACCTAATTCATGTGATTAATCTAATAGATCATAACAAAGTTTGTGACTTCAGTTAACAAGACAAATATTATAAACCCGGCTAGGACCTTGTAGGTTCATCACTGACTTATAATTTCTAGTGATATATTGCAACAAACAATTTATGTGTTATAGCGCCAGAAACTTGGGTCTCATGCAAAAAGGCAATACAAATTGGTATTATTGCAATTTTAAACATTAAAAAATGTGCATTGTAGCTTTCATAAGAACATACGATAAGCAATTGCTATGAGACACTCTGAATTTGTATATCGCTATTTATTTAGAATTTTATAATGTGCATGTATGTGTGGTTGCACTACTAGAAAAACAGAGATTTTACAGTGAGGTTTTATATCGTATACAAGAAACCGGATATAAAACGTTAGGCAATGACATTTTTTAATAAAAATTTACTTTCTATATCTGCCCTAAAACTGGTCATTGGTATTGGTTGCAAGAACACTGAGTTCTTCTAATATCAATATCGAGTATTAAATATCCGCTTAAAAGGTTCACTTTTTGATATTAGACCAGAGTATAGGATATAGAAGGGCAATTAAGTTAATGACCTAGGGAAAAATCACTCAACATTCTCATTGGTGTGTACAATTGGTTCTTGTGAGAATTTTCAGGAGGTCTTGAAAAATCTAAGTAAACGTCAATTTGTTGGACGATATTTGACACTAATTGTGCTTGCCGAACATTTCATTTCCGTGGCACCATAGGCCCCTATCCGATTTTGAATAGTGCTTCAAATGCTTTTGCATCATTAAGAAAAATGTTCACTGTATTGCAACTGGTCACTAGTAAGCTCTTGCTATTTACTTCTTCGAAAGACTATGATTTTGGCTTATTATTTTCTTTATGCATGAAAGACTATGATCTTATATGTTGGTTTCATAACAAAATATGGAGTTCGTTGATGATATATATATATA